ATCATTCTAGAGTTCTTGGCAGGTATGAAGCACCTTGAAGAACCTGTCTTTATGATAGCCTGGCACCAAAAGGACAGCTACAGACTAGGTACTGTATTTCTGAATGCAATATTTTTAGATGCACAGACAAGCCTCTAGAAAGAGCAGTCTGACCAAAATTTTGCTCCCCCTTAGAGATTTACCTCAGACAAAAAATTAAATATTCCCCCCCCCCCCCCTCAACCGCACAGCCTATGGTCTCCTGAAAGTATTTTCTTTTCTGATAGGAAAAACGCCATAGTCTGAACTCACTAAACCTAATCACAGGCCTGTTCCTAGTTTCCAGGGCACTCAGCAAGAGCGACTCTTATGATCCCATGGAGAAGGCTGAAGATCAAGCAGTTTTGACAGCCTCCAGAAAACAGTCTTTAATATGCAGCATCTTCACCTTTACCTCACAAGACATTTGCAAGCTTGAGATAAACATTTACATCATTTCACACACTGACAGTAAGACAGGTGACTTGTAGCTGCCTCTAGAAAAGGGTTGACATTAATTTGTCAGAGGTAAAAGCATATGCTCTTGCCTATTCTGGACCACTAAGCAGCTGTAATTCTAGGGCAAACAAAGTCGCTTGTGGTTTCCCAACTTGCCAGGAAACATACAATTGTAAAAAGATTCACAGATGAGTTATGCTAAACGTTTGGTATTGTGACCTGTGATGCAACACAAAAGAATGGTTGTTGTTGCCTAAACTTTAATAGAGTTAATCCTTCCAAATGCTGACAAATTACCGCCCCAGGCCACTTAAAATCACATTTCTAATGCAATAATCCTATCTGCATTACAATGAGTTAGGATGAAATGATTAGGTGCCTGAGATTTTTGCACAGCGAATTAAGTAACCATACAGACTGGCCGTGCTTGTTCACAAATTAAAGGTCTGGACGGAAATGAAATTCCATTATTCTGCCACTTGCTAAGCTTTGAGGAAGGGTTCATTACTGTCCTGTCTACTGGGAATGTTTCTAGAGCAGCTCTAAGTTAACAGGAACCTATTTTTCATTAGGCCAGCTTCAGGGCTTTCTTCATTATTAATAATTATTAGTCAAGTCTTTGACTACTTAACGCCCCTTGAACAGAAAAGGCTAATTCAACAACACGCAAGCAAGAGTGACAGTAAATTTGCAGGGGAAAAACAAAACCACCCTGAATGCAACTTCTCCTCCATTCACAGCCACACTGTGCTAAGCCAGAATTTGCCCATCTCTTATACTTGCAAGCACAGACCTTTTAGCCAGAGGATGGTGCAGAATACGTCACCTAACAACATCAATGCTATCCAACTCTAGTGTTTAATCAGCATCCTTACTAATCACAGCACACCAAAGCAGATATTAGTGCCTGCACACCAAAATTACCTCTAGGTTTAAAGGCTGCATTCATTATTTTTTCCAACTCCATATTAACAAATTATAAGCAGTGGCTTGGGACTACTCATTATTAGCATTCAACTGATTGTTTACACACAATATAATTTGATGTAAATAAATATAGCAGCTCCTCAATTAAACCCACTGATCATTTCCTTGTTGGACACCCACAAGTTTAGTTTTCCAATGAAGCCAGAGGCTATCACAGGTTTGAAGTGACGGCAAGCAGATCTCACAAATTCTGATAAGCACGGAGAGTGATGCCATAAGCTTCTATGCTAGAACTTTGAGGGATGCCTGTCTCAAAATATAGACAATATAGCCCAAGAACAAGCTTAAAATTGTTAAAAAAAAAAAAAAAAAAAACTAATTTGAAACAGCTCTTATTACCATACAAGTGCTTGATTCCAACAACAACAAACAATGGCCACCAAATGCTCTACAATCCTCTGTTACAGACTACAACATGCAACTATAACAGCCTCTTGTGCCAGTCACTTCCCATGGGCATGCTTCACACAGGGGTTACAATAAGATTTCATTCTCCTAACACACAACCCCCTGTATGCAGATAATTGCTGTACAACATTTAGGCACATCTGTATCACAAGAAGGGGAAAAAAAACAAACATTAGCATTTTTCTTTTTCTGTTTGTCAGGAAGCATGACATTTGAAATAGTTAAAATAAAGGAGCAGCACAACTACAGCTGTATATTCATCATCCTGCCCTCACCCCTCAAAAAAAAGTACTAAATTCTCATCCTGTTGACATATTAGGAGAAAACGTTTCCATTAGGAACTGAAAGCTCTACACCTCAGCACTAACAATGAGCTAGTGAGCGTGGTTTGCGACAGGTTAAGTGTTGTTTTTCTGTATCAAAATGAAAAGCTTCGGTGCATAGCTTCATGCATAAAGCTTGGTCTGTTTATGCAGCAATTAAGCGTACTGTTATACCTTGCAGATATAGACAAACCTTTACATGATTATATGCTGTGGAAAGCAAATGTATATTCACATTCAGATAGGTTACTGCAAATTCTAGTATCTGCTATAAGATATATGTCAAAACACAGATACCCTCACATTCTGCTTGTTGTGCAATACCCAGGGTTTTATGCATCCCTAAATACAACACAGATGTGAAACAGGTGCCACTGATTTATTATGCTAATGACATCTCCAGGCCATCTTCAACAGCACCAACAAGAGTGGTCAAGCAAGTTACCAAGATCTAGCTGACAGAAAGAAGGTTGACATTTTAAATGCTCCCTTCTAATAAAGGTGGACACAACTAATTGGTAATACTACTGGACACCATAGTCTTAAGTTGTCAGATGCTTTGCAATTTTGGAGGGAACCCCCAGACTCAAAAACATGATCAGTTCCTTCTTGCACCCAACCCTGCAACTGGATCAGATCCACCCCAACACCTGCTCCCACAGCAGCAGTCAAGAGGGTTCCTCAGAGGACCCTGAGAAACACCAGTGACACTAGCACCGCACAGTAGGCTCCAGCCTCAATCCAAACAGAAGCAAGCTTTCCCCAGACGCAGAGCCATTTGCCTGCAGGGCAATAGCCATAATAATAACCTTTATCCTACACTACCTAGACCAAAGCCTCACTGCACTGGGCTGCCACTGCTGAAGGCAGGAAGCCCAAGAGCTCCTAACAGTTGTAAATACAGAAAGGATGAGAAAAATGGATGTTTCTGCAACAGCCACAGCCAGGTACCAACTATCTGCATGGGAAAGGCTGGAGAACCTCAAGAGGCCTGAGCCTGCAAGTACTATTATAACAGAGAACAGGGGAGAGGGTCACCACAGCCCTCAGAGACCAACTTACTCATGCCTCCTTCTTCCCCCCTAACTTCACACTGGATAGAAAGTTTTATAAGGGGCAGACCAACAGAACTGTAAGGCTTTGCAGAGAGGTGTTAGAAAAGAGCATAGGGTAAGGTGGCTGAAAATGAAGAAGTAAGGATTAGTACTGATGTGAATAGAGACTGGCCTGGTCAACACCATCAGCTGAACTCTGAACAACAGAACAATTAACAACAGTAACAGGAGGGGAACATCTCTGGAAGGCTAGGACAGGCAACAACTACCGCTGTTATAACAAGGAAATCCCACACACATCTTTATGTCACTGCAAAAGTGGTTTATTGCTAACACTTTGCAAGGGATACAACGCCTTGCTGCTTATATTTTATCCTTATGGCCAATTTCAGTTGCTCCAATGACTCCCATATCTGCATCCGGTTTCCCACGTAGTATACTCGCCTCTGGAGGATTCGGTAAACGCTGCCAAACCACACAGCTTCAAGTTTGTAAACATTTTGGTACAGAGTCCCTTCCATGGAACCAACCACTACTATCAATTTAGTGATATCAATTTTTATGGTTCCTCCTTTTTCCTTTTCATTAATTCAATTAAGCCAGCTTTTGAGACAAGGTAACAACCGGTCCTTTAGTCTTTTGTTCAAGGCAGCACCAACTCCCTCTCAAACAGCACATAAATAAATAATGGGCAGTATAACAACAGTAATACCAAGGACCCTTTCTCAGCACTCAGCTCTGATCCACGATACCTCTTTATCGCAGCCACTAATGAAAACTCTTTGAAGTGGAAGAGTAAATATTACCATTTGATAGCACCTGAACCCAACAGGGCAAACAAAATTGCATTGTATTATGTTCTGGGAGCTGCAGACCCGTTCACAATACAACGCTCGCAGGGTTGCTATGGAGGAGCCCGACGCTCACTGTTTTGGTAGCACGGGGTCAGCCAAGGGCTGGCTGCTGGGGACCCTTCGAGGGCTGTTGGTCTTGATCTTTATATGCAAACCAAATAGGAAAAAAACTGCAAATCAAAACTGAATCAGGGAATTCCAGAATGTCTGCCTTCTACCTCTGTTGGCAGTCCGGTCTCTCCAAAGACTTTCAGCTCCTACCCGTGATCAATCAGCTCTTACAACCTGACGACGAATTTCAGAAATGCTTCCATGCTTTTTAGGCACTGGATTATTCAACCCAGCGCTCTGGGTCCAGAAGCTTTGAGTATTTTTTGGTCTTCTTAAAAAAAAAAGAATGTCATCTACCATTTCTCTGTAAGAACACCAAGTTGTCCTTACGTTAACAACACCCTGGAAAGCCAGGTTGGATGTCATGGTCTGTCACAGCCTCCCTGTTTGGCCTTTGGGCTCATACAGCATGTCAATGTCTCATCTGAAGTACAGGAGGGTCTCTGCCGCACCTGGCTGTGCAGTCACCAGCCCATACATACCTTGCCTCTGAACTGGCTGCCAAGTGACAGGCCATTCTGTAAATCCGTAGGGATCAAGGGGAGCAGGTGGGGAAGGCTCCCACGACTCCCGCGTGGCATCCCCACCCTTGCCCACCCCTCAGCGGGCACAACAGCACCCACCTGGGACAGCACGGTGCAAAACCCCCTGTGATGCAGGAGAAGGGGGCTACAGGGCGCAATCTCAGGGTGCTGCCGTACCCCACGGGACCCGGAGGAAGGGACGGGTGAGAGCACCGCGCCCCAGCAGCGGGCAGCCCGCTGAGAGCCGCGATCCGCACTCACCTTGCTGCTGACGGGCCCGGGGATGAGCAGCTTGAGCGCCTGCCTCTTGAGCTCCGCCAGGCGGGCGCTGCAGTGCTCGCACCAGACGCCGCGGTCGGAGCCCGGCGAGGAGCCGCCGCCGCTGCCGGAGCCCGGCGAGCCGGTGCCGAAGCCCGGCGAGCCGCCCAGCGAGCCGGGGGAGCTGGTGCCGATGCCGGGCGAGGCGGGTCCCGGCGAGCCGCTGAAGGAGCCCGGCGACGAGGTGCCGGAGCCCGGGGACGGCGTGCCGGAGGAGCCCAGCGCCGAGCCCGCTCCCTCCGGGGCCGGGCGGCCGCCGGCACGGGACTCCTCGTACGCCCTCCGGTACCAGCTCTCGGGGGAGAAGGGGGCGCCGGGCTTGGTGGGCGAGCAGGGCTCGGTCACCTGCAGCGGAGAAGGAGCAGCGGGTCAGGCGGGGCCGGCAGCCCGCTCCCCCCCGCGCCCCGCGCCCCAACTTACCCCGTATTTTCTGCTCCGCGCCGTGCCCGCGCCCCGCTCCTTGGTCCCGGCCACCGAGGTCATGGTGGCTCGGCAGCGCCGGGTGCCAGCGGGCTCCCAGCCGCATCCGAGGGCGCCGGCGGTCCCGGGGAAGCGCCTCCGCCGCCGCGGGGTGGCTCAGCCCCGAGACGCCCTCAGTGCTCGGCGAGGGGCTGCGCGGCGGGGCTGTCCCCCGGCCGCCTCGTCCTCATCGCCCCCCGCCGCTCCCGCAGTGGCTGCCGAGCCTCCCGCCCCCGCTACGGCCGCAACTTGTTCCCCCCTTCAGGTCCGTCACCGAGTTGCGAGCAAAGCCTCCAAAAAAATACCGGGAGCCGGTCCCCGGGAGGAGGAGCCGCCTCTCCTCCTCCTCCTCCTCCTCCTCCTCCTGCCGTGCCCGCAGCCTCGCTCGGGCAGGGGCCGGGGGCTGCGAGGCGCTGCCGGGGAGGGTCCCTGCGATTTTGCGGTGCGCCCTGATTGGCACCGGAGATTTTTTGCCCCCCTTTTTCTTGCGAAGGGCGGGCGGTGGGTGTGGGTGTGTGTGTAGGGGGGGGACCGTGTTACTCGCACCGCAGTTATTGGTCACTCGCCGCTGCTCGGGGCTTTCACGAGTGCTCGCAGTCCGCCCCGAAGAGCTGCGAAGGAAGAAGCGAGCTCTCCCCGCGACGGGCACGGGCAGCCCTTCGCCGTGTTGCGATCCTGTGTGTATTAATCTAACTCGCGGCCGAGGGCGTCATAAATTGAGCTCCTAACAATAAAACCCTACAGTCTCGTTTCGCTGTTCATCTTTCCCCACAATCACGGTTTGCAGGCTGTGGGCTACGCGCATCTGGCCGCAGCTCCCTGTTCACCTCCAGCCCTGCAGACAGCACAACCACTCCTCAGAGATCTTCCCCCTCGCTTCAACTTGCCGATTCTCTCAGAAACGGCTGCCATAAAGAGCCGAACCCAGACCCCCTGGGACAGCCAAAGCAGGGGGGGTGCGATACAGAGGGCAGATCCCGCCGGGACCCGCTCCCCTTCGCACCCTCCTATTGCCACCCCCAGCAGCGCAGCCCTGCGGCGGGGAGCCCTCCGCGGTGCCCCGCTGCCCCTCCGCTGCCACGGCTCGGCGCGGCCGTTCCTGCAGGGGAAGCCGCAGCCCGGACACCCCGGGCCGTGCCCCGTGCCGCCCAGCGGGCAGCACCGGGCGGCGCGGGGAGATGCGCTCAGGGGCGGCTGCGGCGCCGGGCGGGGTCGGCGGCGTTCGCGGGCGGCGAGCGCCCTCTGCGGGCGGCCGTTGCTGGCGACCGTTGGCGACCGTTGGCGGCCGTTGCTGGCCGTTGCTGGCCGTTGGCGGCGCGAGGTCCGGCTCCCTCGGTCCATAGCTGTTCATAGCGCCGCCCGGGAGGGAAGGGGCTCGGGGTGTGCCGAAACACACGGGTCTGCCCAGCCTGAGGAGGCTCGGCTGCCAGCTGCCTCTCCCTCCTGACGGGTGACGGTGTTTGTCGGTGGTTTGGGTCATTCAAAATAGACTGCGAGGATTTTCGGAAGCTGGGATGCACCAAAAATCTCCAATTGGAGAGATCTTGCTGCTAAAATCTTTGCATCTCTCGTTATTTTGTGGTGGCCAAAGAACAAGACACTATAGTGTCACTCCAGCAAGAAGCCCTACCAAGAACCCTGTCTCGGGGTTAACACCTGCTCTGAGAAGCAGCCAAGCTTTTTCCCATCTCTTTGGGATCCCTCGTGTGGAAGTTCATGAGGTTTCCTCTCGTAACCCCTTCTGCTCCATGTGTCACCAAGGAGTAGAGCTCAGTGACATGGTTTAGTGGAGGACTGGTTAGGGTTAGATCAGAGGTTGGACTGGGTGATCTTCAAGGTCTCTTCCAACCTAGATGATTGTGTGATTCTGTAAAGGAAAGACGTTTATTTAGCAGTGTCATCAGCAAACCACTGACACACAGCTCCCCCAAAGCTGCCTCTCTATTTCAAATTTACCTATTATCTTGTGCTGCAAATCACTTACACCAGCAGTTCAGAACAGCTGTTAGACGGGGCCACAATGGCGCTTAAGCTTCTGCTACAGGTTCTAGTAATCATCTCACATTGGGACCTTCCTTCCTCACAGCTTTTCTAGTTCAAGCAAGGGGAGAGATTTACCCTCTCTGGAGTGAGCTCATTAAGGTGATTTAGCACCTGTGTGATCCCAGGTGCAGACTGATGTACTAGTTTAAAACACCTATAAGCAGTGGCTGCAGAAGACATTTAGTTAATAAAGAAAGACTTTCTGTCCTGTAGATAATTTTAGATCTCAATCTAGATATTGCACCTCTCTGGAGTTTATAACCTGCCTTTTAGCTAGTATACACATTTCCAGTTTCTTTATCACACAGCAGTGTGTTTGCTCAGGTGTACTATCACTCTGATACTTTCAGTGGATTTCTTCTGAACAGATCTCAGTATGGGTGCAATTAAATCTGACCTAGAAGTTCAGCTTCATCACTCAAATCTGAGATGCTGGCACCATCCCAGTTCTATCAATAAACAGCAGTTTATGAGAGCTGGAAATGTTGGTTGCATCAAAGAAATCCTTTGAGGTATTCACATTTATTATAAATCTCAGGATAAAAAAGGTGACAGCAACTGTAAGTTGAAGAGTCATCACTGCCTGCACAGAAGCTTTGTTTCCAAGTTTGGTGCTAATAAGTCTCAGTATCAGGTCTTACTTACAATTTTAAAAAGCTTCCTTGGGGAGATTTGAAATTCATGACAGCTCTGATACTTGCTTAAAGCAGAATATTAATGACTCAGAGGCCATTGGGGGACAGAGAGGAAATTGAAGGCATTTGTGGTAACAGTGACAAAGAATTAATTGTAAAGATAGAAACAGCTAATTACAAATAAAACTACCAGGACTTTTCTAGTTTGACATATTTCTTCTCTAAAACCTTTCCAGTTCTTGTTCCCATTCCCTTGCTGAAGTATAGGAACACTTCAGCAGAAAGCTCTGTGAAGAACACACCAAGTCCTTTATCCTTTTGTGTAGCACATACAGCAGAAACACACACATCCACAGCCTGCATATTCTCCAGGATTTAAGGATTCATGCAGTACAAGAAGAAATCAGTTACAGGGACTGCAGTTGTACTTCTGATTGTGTTGCATGTAATGCTTCTTTTGGAGTATCTGGGATATGCCAGGCTTCAGGGGTGTATTCTTCTACTTGTTCTTGACAACTGTTGAGTATGATATCATGGAGAAACAAGACAGGGTGTTTCCATGAACCAGAAACCAATACCTCAGAAACCATGAGCTGGTTTCTAAGGTTATTTCTGTAGCAGAATTTCTAAGTCCTAAGATTGACCCTGTGTGTCAGCATAAAAAAAGACAAGCACTGGACATGTACATCTCATGCCCTGTTACAATCCCTATCTCTGGGAGACATAATATGGACAGGGAACTCTAAATGGTCCTAATTACAGCTTCTGCTTCTTGCTGTTAGCAACAGATCTGCATCGGTACATTTTAAACACACTTTTTCCTACTCTGAAGACCACCAGAGAGTTGTATTGTCAGCCTGACAGGGGTATGTCTCCCTGCTTGCTTAGCTTGGCCCTTTTGCTCAGGGCCATTGCGCAGGTGTTTAGCCTGTACTTTCCTTGCTCCACTGGGAGCTTCCCTGAATCCCTCCATAATGTCGAAGGAAGCCATTTGTGTTCAAACGTGGACCAAGATTTGCATTCTGTCACAAACCAGATGCCCTTAAATCTTGCCCTTGCCTGATATGAAAGCAATCTATTATTCACAAAGGACTGTCTATTTGGATTTATTTGGAATGGAAAATTTTTCTGTATCTCAAATATAAAGTACTTCATAGATTTTCTAGAAACTGCTTTCATAGTTTCTGCCACACAGCACCACCTACTTTCATAAATCTTTATGTTCTCAGTAGAAAATCAATGCCTACTTATTAATACAATATTGATATGTGTTTCATGAGTAATAAAGGATGCGGTGTCGTGCACGTACGTATACTCACAGAGCAGGGTTGCATGGAGACGTTTACAGTCGTTCTGTGCAGTGGGATGCATTGCAACGACAAGTCTGCAGCCAATTTCTGTTAAGTTCATAAATTCAAATGCTGGAATTTGACAGAATCCCATTTTCTGTTACTCAGACACAATAAGCATTCATTGCAACTCCAAACTAAGAACAAGTCTGAAAAATGAAACGGCGAGTACCTGTGGCTCCCCAGGTGCTGAGCCCTACCAATGTAAATTTTACGCAGAACAGCAACAGGGCAGGAGAATGCAGGAGTAACAACAGGCAGAGTCTCAGCCTCAAAAGGAGAAAGATGTGAGCTTTTTCTCACTCGGAAACCCTTGTTGTCTCTGCAGGCACCGAAAAGCCACTGACTGCTTGCTGTGCTGGGCTAGGTGGAGCCGCCTCCCGGATAACGCGCTAGCAGCATCCAGCATCCGTGGGTTGTGACCAAAGCCCCCAGTGAAGGCGGCTGCTGGCTGCTTCGGCCAGAGGAGCCGTGCTGAGGGGGCCATGGCAGCCTGAACTGCTCGGACTTGGCCCCAGCACAATGCCAGCAATGCTGTCCCAAATGCCAGGACGCCAGCTGGATATTGCAGAGGGCAAAGGAGTCCTTTTGAACAATCATCACTCTCCTCGCTATCTCAGGGGCGAGGAAAAATGTGTCTTCCAAAGAATTATGCTCGGTAATCTTTGGATAGAAGAGGGGAGAAGATGGTATTAATCACACTAAGAAATATTATTAACAGGAGGAACATAGGCCAGCACGTGCCGCAGTTAGAAAGCTGGCAAAGTGGCTGTTGGAGGGCAGCAAGAGCAAAGCTACTGAGCGTGCTTTGCCCCAGGAGCCAGGGACGCAGGCACGCGGTGCAGATGGTGTGGAAGGGGGGCAGGCAGAGATAACACAGCAAAGTGAACAGGCAGCCCTGAGCAACAAACAGCGAAGTGTTTGTATCATCACATTTTTATGCTGCATCCTGCCTTGCTGCGGGAGCAATTTATAGCAGTACAGACCAACAACCGAGCTGGCATCACAGGCGCTAGCCTGTCGAAGTACTGAATGTGTAAATGCCTTAAATAAAGCACTGTATAAAAAGCAGCGGGCATTTCTTTCTGCCCCTCAGCTCATCAGTGCTCAAACAACAGAGAATTACATTCATCATAAGCTAAGGCACAGGTCTCACCCCACTATGTTCCTGAGATTTTTGTGGCAGTAGGCACTCCAGATCTGTGAGCACCCGTTTAGTCTGATAGTCTTTTCAACACTTTTCCAAACATTTCATACATTCTGTTTATCACCAAGCTTGGGGTTAAAGTTAAACTTTATAGCATGCAAATTTCCAAAAGATTTTATGTTTCATTTTTCTCCACTACGTCACTTCATCCATATTCTTTGTAAAGCAGCCACAGAGGCTGAGGCTGGGCTCATCCGCCTGCCATTTCTCTCGCACCTCTTTGCTACCTGCCCCTCATTTCTCTTTGCCTTGAAAGTCACAGCTTGGTCCCTGTACCCACGCCTTCAGCTCGCTGGCAGCTGGAGAGGCAGAGCCATGGCTAAACCTGGCACCTTCTGTGGATGCAGGTCAGTGGCCAAGAAGGGTGTAGGCTGCCCTCTCTGCCCTTCCCCATCCACCTCAGTGAGTTTTCCTGTGGCTTGTTCACAACCTCCTGCTCTGAATACAGAATGCTCTGGCTACATCAGGGGAGTCCAGGAGGATTCATGGCTGGACCCGAAGGGCTGCCACTCTTTTGTCTGCCCCCCAAGGGATGTTCAGGCTTGATGGACACTGTGAGGCTGGTGCTCCAGGTGAGCTGTGCAGGTTTAAAGAGATGAGCGGTCACTGAGCACAGACATCAGCATGGGGTAGATGACTCCACGCTCCCACAGCCTGGCCGTGTACACAGGCAGGCTTGGGTGAAGAAGTGCTGTGTGCTTTCAGGGCTGGCATACTCGCAGCGTGAGGGAGCCTCAGGAGTCTCTGTCCCTGGAAGCAACATGAGCAAGGGCCAGCTGTGCTCAGCAGCATGCCCTCACCCTCTGCCTTCATGATGTGGCTCTTTTCTGAACCACAATTATTCTGTCAAACACCATGACAGAAGGAAACCAGTCCCACACCTTGGCAGCTTCTG